GCCTTCTATCTTCTCTTTTCCCCCTTTCCCTCCTTCTTCCTTTCTCTCTTTCTTTCCCTCCTTCTTTCCTTCTGTTTCTTTCCCCCTTTCCTTCCTTCTTTCCTTCTCTCTACTCTCTCTCTTTCCTCCTCCTGTGGCCCAACTCTAGTGAGAAGGGGTTTAAAGCTGGGGAAGGGGAGGGGAGGCTTTTGCTTCCCCTTCTGACATCACTTCCGGTGATGTCAGGGGGCGTAGCATATGCTAATAGCCCAGTAGCTCATTAGCATACCATATGCTAATGAGCTCCTGCAGCTCTTTTTCTACGAAAAGACCCCTGAGAACATCCATGATAAAATTATAGGTAATACAATCTAATCAAAGCAATCTTAATTTATCCATTTAGATTCATGAGACATAGCAATCAGTATTTTCTTTCGACAATAAGAGGCAAAATTAATTGGATCACAATCTCGTGTATCCTAGAACTTCATAATATTTTTAATTTTCATATTCCAGGGAGACAGTGGTGGACCACTGATGTGCTATTTCCCAGACAGCACCAGGTATTATCTGATAGGAGTCACCAGCTTTGGCATGGGCTGCGGTAAACCAAAATTTCCAGGAATCTATATACGCACAGCAACTTACGGAAAATGGATAAATTCACAAGCTATTGTATATGACAAAACCACCACTGTGAGCATTCCATGTGTTCTGATCTTTTTGAGTGCGGATTTGGCAGTTTTGCATCTTGTTCTGTGAAGAGGCAAGTGACCTTAGATAGATTTTTAAACTTATAACTCTTTCCTGTTAGCATAATTAAATATTTTGAACAACCATTGTACTTACTAGGCAAGATCCTATGGTTGCATGAGTGGAAGGTTTTATGATAGCTGATATTCCCCACCCTTCCCTTCTCACAATTCTTTGCAACTCCCATGAAGGCATAGAATCCTCCTTGCTTGTATGTGGATCGATCCCTTGCTCCACTGTAATTCCTCCACCAACATTTCTTTTGGTTTAAGAGTAATTTCACTTGGTTCACCTCCCTCACTTCAGTCCCTGGTATGCAGTGGGTATTTAAAAAAATACTTTTCTTTTTGTCCATGGCAGTCCATGTCCCCAGCAATACTTCTTTTGGGCATCACAGAATACCTTCTACTGGTACAACAGGATTCAGCCTATTTACCGAAATGTATGCCTAGTAGATTCATATACATAATTCAGTCTATAACTTAAAAATATAAATTCAAAGAGCACCTCTTTTGTTTCATATGTATATTTGATAGGCTATAAATGACATGATGACAACCACACTCTTTTGAACAGTGCAAAGGCTTCAGTCATATTTTAAAATGTGCAATGAAAACAGTTTTCTAGCATACTTTTTTCCTTCATCAAAATAGGATTGATTTTGTGAAAGTCAAACTATGTTATCAAAAATATCAAAGTCTGCATTCAAGTGTACAGGGTTCAACACAACATGTCAAGTGGAGAAAGCTGTCATATTATCTACAGTATTTTAAGAATAAAACATATTTTGCAGTTGAATACAGACAGGCATATGTAAAATTTCTGAGTAACATTTCTTCATTCCAAACAGATTATGATGATCTATAATTGAGTTAGTTTTTGAGTTATCAAAGCTGCAAACATTTACCCACAAGTAGCTCCAGTGTCTGAAGAATTCGGGTGTTAAGTATTAGAAAGTTCTACCTCCATTGCGCCCTCTGCTGGTTATCCTGCAGCAAAACAAATGCAATGTATTTTCTTGTCAGTACAGGTACAGTAGTTAATTCTTTAAAATCCTTCTGAAGGTTAAAACAAAATGAAGTGTGCGGTCTCCTAGTATTTTTAAGACTGACCAAATTCTAAGTGATGAAAAATAACACCAGCACCACAATGCTCTCACAGTCTGAATGAATGAGTCAGCATGAAATTGTATTTTGGATTCTTTATTACTGAGGTTGAAAAGTGCAAACACCTGTTTGTTTAAAAATATTTACAAAACTTGACACTAAGCTGCTAACTTTGAAGACAAATCTATGGTAACTAGGGTTACATTGCCTATGTTCCAGACTCGGTTTTATAATTGTCATGTGAATAAAAATGGTAAATAGCACAAATATTTATTTTGTTAAAAATAACTGCAAAAGAAATCAACAGCTTTATAACACTGCTGTGATGACATACCCATGTATGTTACTCATGTCAACAAGTATCAACCAATCCAATGCATTTTCTCTGTAAAAATAAAACAAAAACCTTCTATTCTTTCTCTGAATTCATACAATTTTTAACACCATCTCAACATCAATTATTTTGAAATCATTAATTTTCCTTGACACAATGGCAGTTTTAAAATGTCAACAGATATTGTGGGTAAAGAGAAACAAAATACGACATAGCTATAAGGTCTATTTAGAGTTTTACACCATATCTTAAAAATTTCAGACTTGAAGTTAAGATTCTCAATGGAAATTCATTCACAGAAAATTAATGTGTATACAGTAGTCATTACAAGATTACGCCACCATATTCATTTTACACAGTAAAACTGATTGGTTGGTTGTGATGATGCAGAGGAAAATGCATGTCCACCAAACAGCTTCTATCTGTGTTTTCTATAAAGCGCCTCATCTACCTCCACCCAAATTATATCACAAACCATTTTGGAAATTGTTTTTGAAGCAGCCTATAATAGACGTAGGGCTGCACATCTACAAGCTTTCCCATGAGTGTAAAGAGGTTTGATGGACTGGACACGTTGTTCGTTTCAGTTATGGCCCATTTCCTTATTAGTTTTATACTCACAAATGCCTCCCCAATTTACATAGTACTGCTTCAGGCACTGCAGTTTTTAAAAACTCCTTGACAGGATTTGGGTTTTTAACTATTATAGAATTATAATAGTTTGATAGAATAGAATTTTCTATAGAATGTGGTACCATGATAATCTCAAAATTGCCCAGTATTTCTGAAATAGGCTTGCACTGCTATAACAAGTGTACATACCCTTGGTTTCATCATCTTGTCATAATGTACTTAATATCAACACTTCAAAGAGCACTACTGGAATGCTTCAGACTTAACTAGGATAAGGCTCCATTTGTTGATTTAATATTTAATAAGTACTCTGGAATTCAGTTCATATCAAAAAATCTTTTAACATTCTTTGTAAAGAAAGCAGAATGATGCATATTATGATCCCTGACAGCATCTTTAGTGAATTCAAAAACATGTGCAATTTACGAACAGTACTTATTTTTTCAAAAATATTCTTGACATTTTTGTTAAATTAAATTTTGCCTAAAGAAATATATAGAAAGAATAGCATCTGATTTAATCTCATAAAAATATAAACTTGATCATCTGAGGGAAAATTCTCTGTTTACTGGAAGTGTATAAACATTTAAAATATCCATAGAAACTCAATCATAGAATTTGTAAAGGTAATCCATTCAACTACAAAAATATACCAGGCATCTGTTTCAACAAGAGTACTTTTCATTAAAAAAATTAGACAAATTACTGCCTAGTTTATAAAAGGAATATTGTAATTGTGCAATTTATTCTCTCTCCCTCTCTCATACTAGAATTTTACTTTGGCAGGAAACTTTTGTTTCATTTTGTTTTAAACGTGAGCAGTGCTAAGGGAACTGAAAACTGTTTAACCTAAGAAAATAAAACAGGATTTTCAAACAGTATGTGTGATGCCTGTTGATTTCAGTTTATCTTCAGATAATTTTCTACCAAGCAAACAGGAAGCAATGCTGAAAGTCCTCTGGAAACTTACTCTTATCACCTTTAGTTTTGTTGTATAAAACATACAGATACATTGGTGTCACCAAGGACATGTATCCATGTACTTAGCATATCTTTCTGGTTTCAAAAAGCCCACTGCCTTTAGAAAAAGTGTTAAAACACAGGAAGCATTAGAAAAAATTAAATTGCCTGCCTGTTAATAGCAAATATTACTTACACTTTTTTAGCAAGCTAGTGGCTTCTCTCTCTCCTAAAAACACAGAATAGAATTTACATTTTGAAGCGACAATATTTACATACAAATAACTGAAAGAAAGCTGACTATTAGAGAGGTAAGAAATTAAAATCAATGCTGGTTATATACGTTGATAGACCTTTTCAGCTAAGGCAAAGACTCAGTTCTTCCACAGTTTAACTACAATCAAATATTGCAAGCATTTCAAAATTCAACTGTAGATCAGGAAATTAGTATCTCTTGATTGACAGAATATGCACATCCCTCTCTTCTGATTTAATGAAGATTCCAGTTGTGCCAGTAGAACTCCTCATGAGGTTTTTCTGTTTCCTTTTTGTACTCTTGTCACCAAACAAGTTCTAAATAAAATCTTAACAGTCTTTGTGAACGCTGGATTGAAAAGAATCATTCTTGACCTCTCATTTGAATTTTTAAAAATTAATATAAAAAATTCCCTCTGAAATTCTGATGTTCACAAAATGCTCGGTTTGTTGCAGTAAAGATCTTTCAAAGTTTTTAGCTCTTCAATTAGAGTTTTATTCTGGTTTTCAAGGACAGCCACTCGATTCTCAAGACATTTTACATATTCTTTCTTCTTTCTACGGCATTCTCGGGCTGCTTCTCTGAAATTCAAGACAAATATTGTAATATGGTAAGCTAGTTTGGAATCACTGCTTTACTTCACAGCTGATGCATGCCTAACCTGCCTTTACATTTTTCTTTTAAACTCATGTGGGAGTTACTGCCCAGTAACACACACACACAGAACTTAAAAAGTGAAATGGGTCAGCAGTTTTGGCTGAAACAGGTAGCTTCCAAATGCTTTTTTAAGGGCTCAGACCTACCTACTGTATTAGCAATAAGGGGTGTTTTTAACACCAGTTTGGGAATTAGCAGGCAGATAAGGATGATTAACCACAACAACTTTATATATAATGAACTTTTCTCACTGAGACTCAAGCAGATTACAAAATATGATAACAGCAGCACTTTTCTCTTAATAAGCAAAACAATGCAAAGGGCTAGGATTGAAGAGCTGGGAAACAATGCTAGCAAATTAATAAAATAAAACTGTCTAAGGCAACAAAAACATCAACATAGGCAAAGCACGAAGGCAAACATTTTTTCTAAAGTTGATAATAATTAATTTTCCAAACCGCCCAAGGCACATTTTTCCAAAAGACAAAACTGAAATAGTCAGGGAAGTGAATGCATACTGGATTTCAGTAATGCAATAACTCTTGGCTAAAGAGAAATTAAAAGAAAGTTTATGTGTTATGCATTTGAGGAAATGTGAACACAGGAGCAGCACTACAAGGTACAACTGATTAAGAACATAAGAACATAAGAGATGCCAATGTTGGATCAGGCCAAAGGCCCATCCAGTCCAACACCCTGTGTCACACAGTGGCCAGAAATACCAGTGCCATCAGGAGGTCCACCAGTGGGGCCAGGACATTAGAAGCCCTCCCACTGTTGACCACCCCCCTAAGCACCAAGAAGACAGAGCATCACTTGCCCCAGAGCCCCTATCTATACCTTGTGGCTAATAGCCACTGATGGACCTCTGCTCCATAGGCTTATCTAATTCCCTTTTGAAGCTGTCCATGCTTGTAGCCGCCACCACTTCCTGTGGCAGTGAATTCCATGTGTTAATCACTCTTTGGGTGAAGAAGTACTTCCTTTTATCCGTTCTAACCCAACCGCTCAGCAATTTCATTGAGTGCCCACAAGTTCTTATATTGTGAGAAAGGGAGAAAAGTACCTCTTTCCTTACCTGCTCTATCCCATGCATAATCTTATAAACCTCGATCATGTCACCCCTCAGTCGTCATTTCTCCAAGCTAAAGAGCCCTAAGCGCTTTAACCTTTCCTCATAGGGAAAGTGTTCTAACCGTGTTATCATTCGAGTTGCCCTTTTCTGCACTTTTTCCAAAGCTATAATATCCTTTTTAAGGTGTGGTGACCAGAACTGCACACAGTATTCCAAATGAGGTCGCACCATTGATTTATATAGGGGCATTAACATAATCCTGAAGAGCAGAATGTGTTTGCTGCTCCTCCCAGCAGACCCCTACAATGAGTAATTGATCCATGTCTTTTTCACAGCTTTAATTACTGCCCCAATAGTTCCATGGTTTGCTAGAAACAACCTTTACAGCTGTATAACCTATTACTGTTAGGCTCAGAGACTGACAATTTCTGCTAACAAAAGGAGTGGGGGTTCACTGATTTCTCTCTCCCACTAGAGTCCCCCACCCATATGCTGTTCCTGGGGGTCTCCAGTCCCTCAGCAGCAACATTTCAGGGAGATCAGCGGGCAGTAGTGGAAAACGGGTAAAGGTAAAGGTTCCCTTGCTCGAAAGCCAGGTGAATCCGACTCTAGGGTTGCGGTGCTCATCTCCGTTTCAAAGCTGAAGAGCCAGCGCTGTCCGAAGACGTTTCTGTGGTCATGTGGTCGGCATGACTAAACACCAAGGCACACGGAACGCTGTTACCTTCCCATCGAAGTGGTACCTATTTATCTACTTGCAATTTCTTGCTTTCGAACTGCTAGGTTGGCAGGAGCTGGAACTAGAGATGGGAGCTCACTCAGTCATGCGGCACATTCGGGTTTCAAACTGCTGAACTACTGACCTTCCACAGCCTGCAGTTCAGCGTCTAACCACTTGAGCCACCGCAATAAATAAAACCAAGCTAAAATACACGTAAGGTAAAATAAAATACACATACATAAAAATTATAACATAGGGAACACTAGACAAAACAAACATTCATTATCTGGTGAAAGACAGCAACAGAAAGTGACAAGAAGTCTCCCTGGGGAGTTCCACAGTTTTGGTGCCACAACTGAGAAGGCCTGCAGTTCAGTGTCTTAACCACTTGAGCCACCGCAGCTCCTAGTAGTGGGAAAGGGAAGTTCTATTCTGACGTCCTACCAGCAGCACCCTGTGTGAACTCCGATCCAACACGACCTAGTGCGGTGCCACCGCTGAATGTGTCCCTAAACTGCACTTTATTTTTATCGCCATCTAATGAATGTTTTATATTGCCTTGTCTATGTTTTTAAATGATGTATTTTATTCTATTACTGTAAAATGTATACTGCTTATCAGTTTTTGGAAGCCGCCCTGAGACTGCCTGGCGGGAAGGGCGGGGTAAAAGTGAAACAAACAAACAAACAAACAAACAAAAGTGACTTCCAGTTCAGTTCAAAGTTTATTTAGATACAAAATCTGTCATAATAAGGATAAGAAATAAAAAATAAAAATACAGAATAAAATATAAGCTTAAAAACTGAACTGAACTAATAAAAAGTGTCTTCCATTTGTAGATGTTATCATTGGGATCCAACCCTAAATACTTCCAAGAGTCTACCAATGTGGTCACCAGCAGAAACGATAAACGTATTTCTGATGGATGCCCAGTGCAAAGTGAGACCCACTCTATCCACCAAGTTTACTGTACAATGCAGAGAATTGGATGGGGTATGTGTGTCACATTTGTCTAAGGTAGGATAAATAAGTCAGTGGGGAAAAAATAAGATTAATACAATTCCTGCCCTGAGAGCTAGTGTGGTGTAGTGGATAGAGTGTCGGACTACGATCCTGGGAGACCTGGATTCAAATCCATATTTCTACCATGGAAGCTCCCATCACAAACTCTCAGCCTGATATATCTTACAGGATTCTTGCTGTGACAAAATGGAGATAAGGAGAACAATGTAAACCACTCAGGGGCTGTCAGTGAGTAGTGGAGATGAAGAAGAGAGTGTTAACTTGCTAGCAAGCTGGGAAGGACCAGCTATAGTTCTGATGAAGTGAGGGATGGGTTATCCCATCTTACTCCTAACTATCTGCATAGATGGGATAGGATGGCTTAGACAAGACTTTAATGAAGGAATGTATTTTAACAGATGAAAGTAAGGTGATCTATCATTACAGAAGGAAGATGGCATGGGTAGTTGTTGGGATAGATGTGCAAGAAATCATGCAGGGTTGAAATGGAGGAGATAACATAGTGGGAGCTGCCGCAGCATGGCTTCTTCCTGCACTACAGAAGCCCTGATGTCAGAAAGCCCACATTGTGGCTCTTTCCCAGGCCAGATTTGCCTCAGTTTCCAAGAGGGAAAAACTGTATAGGGAGAAATTCCAGTGTTGCCTCCTTACAGGTGGCTTGGGAGCTTCCCATGTTATCTAAGCAGTGTGGGAAGAAGCTCTGCAGCAGTATACTGCAACAGCAATGGAAGAGATGGGCTGAAGAGAAATGGAGTAAGACAAAAGAGAGGAGAAGATAAGGTTAGGAGTCATGAGGTCGAGACTTTCAGTAGGAAGAACCTATATATACAAAACATAAAAGGAAGCCAATGCAAGGACAACGAGAAGGGTTATACCATCATAGAAATTGAAGAGAAAGGTAAGTTTAGCAGAGACATTTTGAGCCAAACATGCAACAAGGGAAAGTCAGCAACTGGCTAGTTAAAGGAAGAGGCGACCAGATCATGGATATGCCGTCAATATAGCGAATGGAACTTAAGAGTTGCTGAAAAGAAAGAACAGTGAAGATTTGATGATTGTTTAGATATGAAGAAAATAAAGACAGGGAAAGTTTGGGTAGAAATGTTAGATATTAGGAGAGACCAGCACAAAAGATGTAGCATTAAAGAGGGTAAGAGGACAAAGTGCAAGCAGAAAGCCCACACTGTGCCAGACAGGAGTGGAAAGCAGCAAATACCACACCAGTTTTTAAAAAGAGGTCCAGAAGGGTCCAGGGAATTACATACCAATTACCCTAACATCTGTTCCAAGTAAATTGGTAAAAACTGTTCTTAAACGAGAAAGAAAATGAGCATGGCTTCTGCAAAGGGAAGTCTTGCCTTGTAACGATTCCTTGTTTTAAGAGTGTGTTTGGCCTGCACATGCACAGGCCAGCCACCGGAAGATTTTTAGTTAGCTTAGCCACAGAGTCAGAGGGGACCCTCCCAGTTGGAGCCATTGAGGCTGTTTCCCACCCAGTGGTCATGTGCTCAGGGAAGAGGCTCCCTCCTTTCCCTCAGTCCTCTAAAGCTGCTGCTATGAGCCAAGCTAAGATGTTTCTCTCTCTCTTTTTTTTTTGAGTTCACAGCAAGGTAGGAGGGAGGGATGTGTGCCTGCGTAGACACAACTAGATGAACAACATTATAGGAAAGTGCAACACTGTTTTCATGGTCGTCGTTCTGTGCAGTCCCACACGGGAGATTATCAAGCTGATTTACCAGGAGGTGGGGTGAGCGATTCACTGAAAAATGGAATGCAACACTGCTGTCCCCACCAATGTCTCCCTTCTTGTACTGAGGTCCCCAGAGTAGAGTCTAACGAAAGTGTCTGCAGATGACCAGGTTGTTGCCTTACAAATGTCCAATAGTGGGATGCCTCTTTGAAAGGCAGCGGATGCAGCTTGAGCTCTTGTCGGGTGTGCCCTTATTCTCAAGGGGGAATTCACTGGTACCAGATCATAAGACTTCTTAATAGTTGACACAATCCTTCTAGATAACATCTGCGGGGATGCTGCTTTCCCTTTCGAGGGGCCAGAGAAGCATACAAATAACTGCAGAACTTTCCTAAACTCACTTGTTCTTTATAAATAAAACCAGGAGGCGCGATCTGCATGGGCCTTCAGGGTGAATTGTTGGCAGATCTTGCATGCCATAACTTTGTGACTCTCCCTAAGGCAAAGAAAGTAGACAGAATTTTCGTCTGTCTGGGTCATCTTCATTGAACACTTTGAACATTTTTTTGAACAAAGACATTTTTACAAGGCAAAGTTGAGCTAACAAGAAAAGATCTCACAGCAGCAGCAAAGAGAGAACAGAGGGAATGGAGGGATCCCCTCCCCCGAGCACATGACCGCTAGGTGGGAAATGGCCTCAACGGCTCTGACTGGGAGGGGCCCCTCTGGCTCTGTTGTTAAGCTAACTAATCTTCCGGTGCCTGGCTGGCCTGCGCAGTACCCATGTGGGACTGCACAGAACAATGATGATAATGGAGCTTTTTCTCCTTCTCTCATAATACTAAAACTTAGGAGCACCCAACAAAGTTGATTGGTAATAGGTGCAGACAGACAGAAATACTTGTTTACTCAATGAGTAATTCAATTGTGGAATTCACTGCCAACTGAGGTTGTGATGACCAAGAGCATAGATTGCTTTAAAAGGGGTTTGAAGAGACTGATCAAGGAGAGATCCATCAATGGCTACTAGCTATGGTGACTGAAGGAAGCCAGTATATCCAGAGGCAGCAAACCTCTGAATACCAGTGCAGGGAGACAGCAGCAGGGGAGGGCCTTGGCCTCGATGCCTTGTTTGCCCTCCACAGAAACTGGTTGGCTGCTGTGTGAAACAGGATGCTAAACTGATCTAGCAGGGCTCTTCTTATGTTATTATTTGTGCACATACACAAAGTTTGAGGGAGAGGGATGCATCGATTTGGCTGAGACTTCCAGAGACCTCATGATTTAATATTTTTTCCCGATTTTACAAATATATTTGCCTTTGCAAAATTTTCTCTTCCACTCCTTGTTGTTCAAAAACTCCCTTAAACAAAGCGCTGGCAAACAAAGTCAAATGAGAAAACAATTAAATGAAATAAACATGTATTTTTGAGGGGAAGCTATAGTGAATATTCTTTTAGGGGGAATAAAAAGACAATATGAAGCCAATACCTGAGTAAGACATAGTAGTATCAGAGAATGACTTTCAAAGCAGCATTAGGAAAATGCCTAATAGTAATTGGGAAACCAAATACCTGTTCTTCATTAGCCGTATCTCTCTTTTCAACTGTGGATCATCTGTCTTGGTTGACTGAGATGTCAAGGAGGCTGGAGTTGTCATCACAACAGTCTGTGGGAGGGAAGCGGTGGTTGGTGTACTGCGTATCTGGTACGTTTGCATATCTCCTGAAGCAGCTGTTGAAGAACCAAAGGAAAGAATCATTATAAAGGAAAAAATTTAAACAGCAGTTCTCACTTTATTTTTTACACTTATGTACATATACCCAAAGTTCAAAATGCAATGCACCCAACCAACTGTGGAGGGCATATGAATACAGAAATAAGCATGTGCCTTTTAGTGACCCGGAAACAGCAGGTGAGAAAGAAACTCATGCTTCTGAGTATTTTAAAGACATACAGACCTTTTGCACTTAAGGCATAGCAGAGGGTGACTGCCAAAGTTGGTAGTGTACCAGAAAACTTTCTGTTGCATTGTAGCTCAAATGCAAACAACCAAATGGGACAAAATGTTGTTCCTTAGGAAGAGCACTGGTGGTCATACTTACTGACTTGGCCACCATCAATGAAAGACAACTCTGAAGTTTGGGGTACAATTTGGATGCAAAGTGTGGGAACAAGGGAGGTGAGAGAGAAAAAAATCCTAGAGTTAATACACGTCGCCAGGGCAGACTAAAATGCTAAAACAGTCTGGAGTAAGCTGACCCAAATGGCTCAGTGCTGCGGGAACCACTTGGCTTGGGCCTGGGCTGTGGCAACAACAGGTGTAGACCCGTCCTATACCCACTGCCATAGTCACTGCAGCACTGCCAGCATAACAGGGGCCACTTGGCTTGGGCGGTTCTTGGCTTCCACTGGCCTCCCAGGGTATTGGATCACTGGGAACTTTTCAGGAAATTCAAGGACTAACCCACACCTGTCCACCTTTTAGTTTCCAGTTTCAGCTGGGGAATCCATTGATTTCTGCCTAATCTGTTTATCGAACAGGGTCAGCTCTCCTCCCAGCAGTTGATACATTCTGTGAACTTGACAGGGCAAGAGCACAGCAATGCTGTACTGATCCTATGCCCATTATTAAAGTAACTGAAAAGAGTAGTCTTTGATCTCTGGATTAGTACTGATGGAATAACATTTTTTGAATTAAATGCACGGGTTCTGATAAATAAACATGAGCATAAACATAGAGCTGGCTAGATACAGCTGTAGAATAAGACTGAAATGGAACAGAATTTGATGTGAAACTTTTCCATTATGAAAAATTATTTTTATACCTGGGAAAGAGCACCCAGGTTCTACAAGAAAAGTACGAATCAGTTAGTAGAACTATCCTAAGCAGGTGGAAGAAGCCAACAATTCCAAAAAATTCAAAGGCAGTACTTACTCTGCACTACTACCTGGTTGCTGGGCACAAGTATCTGTTGACCATCAGATGTCTGTACATACTGTAACAGTGGAGTTCCACCAGCATTTGTAAATGTCTGCAAACCCTGCACACTTTCTGCAACAGGACTGCTCAGTTGTAATGGTCCATTTGGTGCAATGGCAACTTAAGAATTAAAACAAAAATGAAACAGAAAAGACATTGATCATGAAAATGAACCAGAGAAGACACTGACAATAGCCAAAAGTCTGCAACAACTAATATATCTTTCTCTTTGGTGCAGTTGCCACAGAAATCTTTCACCGAATACATTTGCTTGCCTGTGAGCAATTAACTTCTGTTTGCACCCCACATCTTCAGCAGCCAGAAGAGATGGTAAACACTTCCATTTGTCTTCATCTTCTTACTGTCCGGGGGATGGTTCAGATGTAATGGCAAACCACAGTTGTCAAATCAGTTTGGGGGAATAATTCGGTTTACATGCATCCTTTCCATGCTGTAATGCTTGAACCACTTATTGTTTTGTCCTCTTCCCTCCAATCAGAATTCTAAACTCTGGTCTAAATCCTAGTTTGGATCCTGGACTGCAGGGAACAGAAACAGTTTGTGGTAGTGTGAAAGCACAAAATTGGAAAAAGAAATAGTCATCAGAGGATGTGCTTTGGACTGGTTTAAATCTTTCCTTAGGGATCAGACTCAGAGGGTTGCTGCTGAACACAAGTTTTCATCTGTGCAGGACTTGTTCTGTGGGGCTCCACAAGGCTCAGTCTTTAGCCCCCATGCTATTTAGTTTCTATGTAAAACTGAATCATTCGTGGTTTTGGATTTGGGTGTCATCAACATGACTCTCAAAAGCTTATTTATGCCCTGCAAGTCTTGTTGGTCTCTAAGGGGCTACTGGACTTGAATCAATATGTCAGTGACAACCAACTCTAGTGCCCAGCACTAGAGAAGCACTATTGTAGAGGTCCTGAGCAAGCACCCAGCTGCTGTGGTTAAATGGCTAAAGGGGAAGTGAATCCTGACAAGACAGAGGTGATGCTGGTTGGGAAGGCTGAGCTCTTGAAGCAGTGCTTCCCCAGCCTGATGGCATCTAGCTGGCTCATGCTGACTCCATTAGAATAGAATAGAACGTAATAATATGTTCAAAGCCAGCCATCGATCAGTTAAAAACAATTTTAAAAAGTAATAAAAATGTGAATACAGGGTTAAAATTGCTATGAACAAAAGAATTTTAAGATGTTACAATTATACAGTAAAGTTGTACTTATAATGAGAAGATAAAACAGTAAAATTTCAATTCCTCCTTTCCCTTGTAAACCATGGCCTTCCTATGATAATTACAAAACATATGATTGTTGAATTTCTGCTGCACTTCCAACTAATTCCTTGTGAATATTACAGGCTGCTGCAAAAAATCTGGCACAGCAGATTGTGATGTGTGGATTTACACCTAATAGGAACTTCTTAACAATTTCAGGGTGGGGGACAAGCTGGAAACCTTCTGAGTAAAGGTATAATAGTCTTTGCTCCAATTTCATGATAAACATGACAGTGCAGCATTACATGCTCAGTTGTCTCAACCTTTCCTGCTCCACAAGGGCAGACTCTATCATCGGAATCGCCCTTCCACTATTGCGGAGGGGAGAATATTCCATCTGGCCATAGATATTTATTTATTTATTTATTTAAGTATTTTTGCCCCGCCCTCCCCGCAAGCGGGCTCAGGGCGGCTTACAAGGGGCATAGCCCAAACATAAAACCACATAAAATCCAGTAAAATCCAAAAACATTACAATCAACAATAACAATAAAGTGCTTCTTAAGTTGTTAAAAAATGATGGCATCCTAGTCCGAGAATTAGTCCGAGCCCATCCGCTGTATTCATTGCAGCATTCTAGTAGCACTACGCTCAAGGACACTCCCAACTTCGGTGTTCTTACCACCGTTGATGGTAATGGTGGCAGCGGCAGCGGCGGCCCCTACGTGAAAGCCTGGCGGAAGAGCTCCGTCTTGCAGGCCCTGCGGAACTGCACCAGGTCCCGCAGGGCCCTGATCTCCTCCGGGAGCTCATTCCACCAGGCAGGGGCCGCCACTGAGAAGGATCTAGTCCTTGTTGCAGCGTATTTTACGTCTCGGGGGCCCGGAACCACTAACTGGTTCTGGGTCCCCGACCGAAGTGCCCTTGGGGGTATATATGGGGAAAGGCGGTCCCTCAGGTAGGTCGGACCCAGGCCATATAGGGCTTTAAAGGTAAGCACCAGCACTTTGAAGCGGACTCGGTACGCTATAGGCAGCCAGTGCAGCGCCTTCAACCCAGGCTTGATGTGCTCCCACCTGGGGAGGTCCATCAGCAGCCTAGCTGCTGCATT